CTTCTGTCAATAACAAATATCAGCCGTTTGTCTGCACATTATCCATTCCTGATGTTAAGAAAAATGCAAAAGTCTTGTATTTTCTCAAGAATTAGCAGTATGTCTATTTTCAAACATGTGTTACTATAAATAGAAATGGAAACTTATGCTTCTCATTCTGTATTTCATATATATGCTTTCTTTTACTTGTTGGTCACTGAATGCGGATGGCAGTGAAAAACATATTGTCTGCAATTGCTCATCCAAAATGTGAGAAAAAAAGTAGGAAAAAACCTACATTTTCCCGATAATTTACAGTATGTCTATTTTTAAACTCATGTTACTATAAATAGAAATGGAAACCACTGCTTCTCATTCTGTATTTGATGTAAGGCTTTCTTTTACTTGTTGGTCACCATATGCCAATAGCAGTTAAAAACAGATAGTCAGCAATTATGCATCCAAAATTTTAGAAAAAAGTACAAAAATGACATTTTTCAGATAGTTTACAGTACGTCTTTTTTTAAACACGTTACTATAAATAGAAACCTCTGCTTCTCATTCTGTTTTTGATATAATGCTTTCTTTTACTTGTTGGTCACTATATGCCAATAGCAGTTAAAAACAGATAGTCAGCAATTATTCATCCAAAATGTAAGAAAAGAGTACAAAAAAATGACATTTTTCCGTTATTTTGCATCACGTCTATTTTCAAACATGTGTTACTATAAATAGAAATGGAAACCTTTGCTTCTCATTCTGTATTTCGTATATACTTTCTTTTACTTGTTGGTCACCATATTCCAATAGCAGTTAAAAACATAGTCTGCCATTGTTCATCCAAAATGTGAGAAAAAAGTACAAAAAACGACATTTTTCCGATATTTTGCAGTGCGTCTATTTTTAAACATGTGTTACTATAAATAGAAATGGAAACCACTGCTTCTCATTTTGTATTTGATATAAGACTTTCTTTTACTTGTTGGTCACCATATGCCAATAGCAGTTAAAAACAGATAGTCAGCAATTATTCATCCAAAATTTTAGAAAAAAAGTACAAAAAACCGACATTTTCCCGATATTTCGCATAACGTCTATTTTTAAACATGTGTTACTAAAAATAGAAATGGAAACCTCTGCTTATCATGCTGCATTCCATTGAATGTTCTTTTGTTCTTGTCAGTCACATAATATCAGTTAGATTTAATGACAGTAAGTCGGTAAATTTCCCATCTCTAATTTGAGAATTGGTGGAAAATAAACATTAAACAGTTAATTTCATATGTGTCTATTTTTAAACATTTGTACTATTTATAGAGATGAAAGCCTGTCCTCAATAATTTGTGAGATATTATGCTATTTCTTGTTCTTATTGATGAAATATTGGAGAGATCCATATTTTTATTATTTATGATTCAGTGGAGCTTCAAAATGATGGAAAATTGACATTTTTCATCATTTTATGAGACATGTCTATATTTAGGCATTTGAAGCTATAAATAGAAAACTGAAATCCCTGAAAATAATATGCATGGTAGTTATTGGTGTCCAGTCTCTGACATTAGCATATTGACTTTTACAGTATATTTCATAATTACCTAGCAATGGCATCTTAAACTCTGCCTAAATTTCATTTTTTGGATTTTTCTGAAATATGTCTATTTTTAGATACATGTTACTAAAAATAGCATTGAGATCCCACTCCAATTTTTTCATGAAGGGACACTACTTATATTGAGGTTTGACAACACGCATATGATTTGAAAAATTTCCGTAGACAATTTTTTTTATTTAACCTTAAATTTCTCAAAAAATGCCAAATTTTCCATTTTTCACATTTTGAGAAACTATGCTATTTTGCAGAACCGTTTTCTAAGAGTGGGGTCAATTCTGGAATAACTGGTTATATGCCCTGCATTCTTTAACAGTTGATGTTTTCTTATGATACAAAGATTTATATTTGAGTTCACTACATAAAGATAAAAATGCATTCATATTTCCTCAATTTTCATGTTTTTGTTTGGTCAAAAATGGCCGAAAATGGCCAAATTCAATGGACCCGTCTCCATGGCAACCGGGTGCACGTGGGAAACTTCTTACACCATATTTGCTGGTTTTGTACCAAGGTGCACCTGTGGTGCAAATTTCATCAAAATCGGAGATATGTTGTTTCCAAGCCCTATAGTAAATTTCTTGGTGCTTACAGAGAATGCATGTTAATTTGTGTTTGATTGTTTACTTTGCCTAGAAGCTAAATTCTTACCCCTGATTCTACACATGTATTAAGTGTTAACAATTATTTTAGGAAGGCAAAAATAAGTCTTCCGTTTAATTAACTCAGTCCAAAGCATGCATTAGTGTCTCCTGGTTATTATGGTTATACAAGGGTACCAGTGATGCAAAAAGTAGTGTTTTGAGAGCATTTTAAGAAAAATATATTTTTATAATAATTGTGGCTGACAATGTTGAAATCATTTACAGAAAGATAGCTAGTTTTAAATATCTAAGACAATGATCACAAGTGATAGAAATAGGGAGACAAGTTGAAAGAATTTTAAAGAAATTTTTCTTTTTAAGTAACCAAGGCTACACTTAACATCCATCAAAAATTTGAAAATTTGAAATAAAAATAATTAATTTTCTAAGTAAGATCTACTTGTGTACCAGGTCTTTAGGCCATTCCAAATTTTTTCTCTGTTTAGCGTCCATCCATCTTTCAAAAACCTACCTACCTATTTGCAAAAAACAAACAAGCCAAACACTAGAAAACTGACCAGTCAGCAAGGGCCCCGCCATGAGGTAGAATTATAAGGGTGCAGCTTATGGAATGATTTAAGAAATACATGACGAATAAGAAACAGCAACTGTATTCTTAAAATTTCAAGATAATTCCCGAATGTCCAAAAACCTGTAAATAATATCCTTGTATTTATTTTACATAAGGCAGTAAAGAACAACTCAACACTGAATGTATATCTAAATAATAGTGAAGCTTTTGTTATATAAAATGCCAGCTTCAATGAATGCAAATACATATCATGAAGGCTTGACCTTAACTTCAAAACAAACAGCAGTTGCAGACAAAGGTTTTCATTAATCTTAAAGTGACAGATAAAGATAAGCCTTCTAAATTTCCTGCAGCAGGCTAGATAATTAATCCCAAGGGATTAATTGTACTTCTCTCTCATCATTTTCTTCTTAATTTATAATAAGAACTTTTTCAGCAATGATAGAATGATGAGGTTTTTATCCAACTGCCTTAAAAATTAATAATATTCTTGAATTTTCATGAAGAAAAAAAAATAAATAAATAAACAAATAAAAATAAAAAATATATCTTCTTTAATCTATTTCTTCTTTTTCAAAGTCAATGAAATTAAAACTCATCGTGTACGCTATTTCAACAAAAATAAAGTAAAAACATTTATACTTCAATCCACATTTCATAGTGTTCATAGCATTCCAAATGGACTTAACTTCAAAACAAACTTCATTTGCAGACAGAGGTGGTAATTAATCTCAATGTGACAGATAAAGATAATGCTTTGGATTTTCTTCAGGAGGAAAGCTAATTAATCCCAAGGGGCTCATTCATTGCAGTATTCAGTTTACAACATTTTCAGAAGTTATCTCTCTTTCCCAATTCATTCTTATATAAAGTTAAGGAATCTACCCCACCACCCCAGCTCCAAACCAGAGGACATAGAGAAACAAAATTAGCATCAAAATATGTCTTTTTGCCTACTGAACTACCATACCAAATTTGAACTTAATTGGGCTACCATAAAAAAAATTATTAGGAAAAAACAGAAAATTTGTGGACGGAAGAATGACAGACGGACAGACAGACGGACAGACAGACAGACAGAGTGATTACTATAGGGCACCTGCAAATCCTTGCGGGGCCCTAATAAAACACGTACAGGCTTAAGTCATAAAAAAGACGCCCTTCAAATGATTTGATCTAACTTAACTGCTCTGATACAAGAAATATCTATTCTTAAGCAAAAACAAGGGATTAAATGCTTAAAATACACGCAATATAACTTACTGTATAGAATTATTTGGAGAAATTGACAAAATTTTAAAAAATCGACTAAATTAATCAATTTCAGGACTCCTGATGTTGTGTGTTTTTTTCTTATATGGGGGTCAAAAACCAAGGCGCACGCGGACGCTTAACATAGAAAAAACTTGGAATGGCCTTACTGAAAGTGGACAAAAACTGTAGGAGAAGTATTGAGTTTTGAAAATATTTCACACATGTAGACAGACAGCTAGAAAGATGTAAAATGGACATCTTTCTCGCTGCTACTTCGACAGTGGAGCTAAAAAATTTCACTAATAAAAACTCATATTTTTCATAAGGGCACTTCAGAAAAGAAATTTAGCTAGTGGGTAATATGTGAGTGAATCTGTATAGCCCTAACTTTTGGCACCTGCAAATTCATATTCCTTCAAACTCTCAACAGTTTACATTTTGATCACATGACCTCACAGACATTGAGCAACAAAGAGGCTGCCTATCTCTGCATGATTAATACCTTATGTTATTTATAAATATTGCCTTACATCATGTATCAGAGATTCCTATAGCACAATCCCAACTCTTGTACATGATTTAGAGAACTATTTCTGATTCTTTGATGAGTGATACATAAAGGCACATGGACCTTAAAGCTAACCTGAATTTATACAAAATTATTTCTGAATCAGCTGCTTAGTGATGAATTCCAAGATCACCAAAATTTATAAAATTCTATCAATCATTCTTTAAATCATCTGTATACTAGTGTTCAACCATCTCAAAAACATCTACTTTAAACCATCTTAAAAATTTAATTGATTTCAATGCACTCAGAGTAATATCAGTCAGCTAGACTTCCTGAGGCAGGCCCTTATGAACAATAACCAGACAAAGTATACTACATTTACCAGTATTTGTCTTCTCTCAGACAGAGGTTAATATAACATTTACCAGTATTTGTCTTCTCTCAGACAGAGGTTAATATAACATTTACCAGTATTTGTCCACTCTCCCCCGAGCTGATCACCGTGGCACCGAACCATTGGTCATTTTTGTCCTCTATTGGTTGGTAGATTCCTGTGATGTCGGGTCGTCTCTCGTTACCTACAATAACAGCACAGCAAAATATCACCTCAGTTATCAATTATGTCAATCAATACAAGAGCTGTATATATATGTCCAAAAATTGACCAATATAGGAGAATGACTCTGCAATAAAAAGAAAATATATAGTTGAACTTGAAGTTGCCTCCAAAACTTTTATCTTGAATACCATTGTTTATGTCAAAGTCACTTATAGGAAGTCCCAACTTACTACTGTTTCTAAATGTATATTAAGTGTTTTTATATTTTTATATTAAATCCTCAAATATCTCATAGTTTTGAGGGTACAGTAAAACTCGGTTATAGCGAAGTCTTGGGGACCTGTGAATTTAATTCGCTATATCCGTATAACAAATTCGTATAACCAGTTATAGTGAATTCGCAATATGCAATTTTCCTTCAAGTATTACTACCAAATATGTTAGGGAAGCAAATATTACAAAACATACCTTTGATAACTAAGGTTTTATTATGTATTGAATTTTATTTCCAAATGCTAAAAGAAAGTAAAGTCACTTCAATTTATCAAATTTTGAGATTTTTGAAAGTTCATTATAAAAGATGTAAATTTCATTACATTTAACCTCAACGAAACTCAAAAATTAGTTCGCTATATCCGTAAGTTCGTTAAATCAGAGTTCGTTATAACCGTAAAATTTTACAAAGATTTGTTAAGAATTTTGCCGGGGACCCAGAAAAACTTCGCTATATCCGTGAATTCGCTATATCCGTGTTCGTACTAAACGAATTTTACTGTACCTTGAGTGAATTTGTGATAACAAAGTTTGACCATATCTAAATTTTGTGGAGATCAGGGTCTTAGTACTTATCTCAATTCTAACCTGCCTTTGAGTTCAAAATAAAGAGATTTTACTGTATTCATTCTCAGTACATGAATTTTGCAGAGAGGTTTGAGTTTTTAATATTGGGATCAAGTTATATATACATGTACATACAAAAACCTCAAAAGCACCACTATTTTAAACTTAGATGCACCAGCTACATGTAGTACAGTTTTTAAATCTTTTTCGTGCCAGCACCTTCTGCGACACAGGACCTCTGTTTATTTGGTCTCATCTGAAGGACCGGCCTCCACGTCCCACAGTGGGATTCAAACCCGCGACGTAAGGATTGACTCCTTACTTCACAACTCTAGAGCAGTCGCTCTAACCACTGTGCCACATTGGTGATGGTAAGCATGGTAAGCATTAGAGAGAAGAGTTACACATCCTAGCAAAATCATGGAAATGACTATTGAGTGGTTGATTTCATACTTTTCCTGTAGGACAAGTGGTCATTGAAACATTTTCTGGGTAACCCAGCTTGTTTATTTGAAATATTTGTGTGTTTCTTTTTTTAAATAACAAAAATTTTCATAGGAACTAAAACACAATACAGTTAAACCTGTCTAATCCTTCACCTGTGCAACTTGTTACACTGAGAATTCCAACGTGGAATTTTGCTCCTATTTTACTATATTCCGTAATTTTCTACACTGTGCAATCCGACACTCTGTCTATTCCAACACAAAATTTGTCAGATTAAACAGGTTTCACTGTATAAAAAATTTAAGCTTTATTACACAAGCAAGATTATTTTTCCCAATAAAATCAACAAGGTTGAATGAATCATCTTTTATATATGTATATATTATAAAATTTTAGATATAATATATAGCTGAGTATTACTAAATAAAGAAAGTCAAATTATTTTAGAGTTGCTTTGCTTTTTGGTACTTATTTTGGCTACTAAACAAAATCGAGTGGTGATGGTTAGAGGTCTTGTATATACTACTAAATAATAAAGACTTTTGAAGTACATGTATTAGTGTTAACAAGTATACACATCACTGAGTAGTGCAGTTGCACATATGTCATTCAGTAAGACTTTCATATTTAAAGTGTTTTGTATTTTTGTAACAAGTGGTTGAGTTAGAACTGTGAGAAAGCATTATATTCATGTTTGACCCCTATTTGACCTGATCCACAGATATTTACAGCATTCCACCAAAAAAATACTGTTTGTAATATATATACAGTTGTACCACTATATGCAATATAGTTTGAACTTTTTTGTTGTTTTTTTTCCATGGAGTGGAAGAGTTCCAATTCTTGAAGGATTAGTATACTTTATTTCAATGTCTATTTATGGTGTTTTACACTTCACCTAAAACAATTTTTGATAAAAGAAACATTATTGAATATATGTTCAGTATTTTTTGTGCATTTTTCTTTGAATCATCCAAAAATTTTCATCAATTGACATCTTTCAAAAAACCCTGATAATGCATGCTGATTTTTTGTCTATGAACATCTGATGACGCTATTATCTTGAAAAACTATCAGTAGGTAAGGTATGTTGCATATGTCCTTAAACTATTTTTAAAAATAAAGTGCCCCGCCACAGCATGATACGCCCGTCAAATATTGTTCAATAATCATAAATTAGTTAGGATGCAAGAAAATCAGGTAGCCTTGATTAACAGATTGACACAGATTTCAATGATTTAATTTCCATTTCTTATCATACATCTCTAAGAGATGCAGTGTAGGGATTGATTATAACAAATACATCATATAACTCTAAACTGGTTGTGTTAGAGCATAACAAATATCCATCTGCAGCTTACTTAAACTTAAAAATTGTTTATTGCATATTTTATGAAATAATAGAAATGCTACAGTTAAATAAAAAAAATCAAACATAAATTATAATTTCTTCAGACTATAAAATTCTAAGTGAGACATGACTGCAATTTGTTGCAAATATATAAAAATTGAAATATATATTTTTTTTCAATGAACACATGTATAATTAGTTTTAATTATATTGTACAATGCTTATTTAGTTTTAATCATTCACTAAAACATAAATTTGTTTTAATCACATTACACCAATTGGAAGATCTTTATCTAGACTTGCCATCAAGAACTCTTAATTAACACAAGCAACTATGAGGCCATTTCTTTTTGCCCAACTCCCAAGAGATAAATAAAGATAACAGCTGCATCAGATCTAGAGATGCTCTTAGCTCCTGACAATAAACTCATTAATTTCTCTCTAATTTGACATGCAAGTTTCTGCTATCAAAATTCTTCTTGACCAGTGCTTGATAATTATGCCCATGGGACAAACTGAATTCCTCTCAAAGCATAAACATTTGTTACAGATTGCTGTAAAGTATATATAATGAAAAAATAAGTTTTTACTTAAATTTAACATTTTTTAATAAGGATACAACTATATTTTTACGTTTTTTAGGATTATGAAATTTAAAATTTAAAAGACTTAGTTTTTTTAAAAAATTCACTTAAATTAAAGGTCACAGTGACCTTGAAATAGGCCGCGACACACCTTCTACTTTAGCTGTATACTTTTGCAAAGTTTCAAAGCTGTAGGTCTCATAGTTTTCTAGTTATGAGCCGGACAGGATTTTTCCATATTTGGCTATAGCATCTTTATTAAAGGTCAGAGTGACCTACTTTTTGTGCGAGAAACACCTTCTACCCAAGATGTATCAGCTGACAAAGTTTGGTAACTCTAGGCCTTATAGTATTAAAGTTATGAGCCGGACACGAGAAAAGCTAACAGACGGACAGACGGACGGACACGAAGCCTATAACATAATAATACGTCCCGTCTTAAGACGGGCGTATAACAATATTTAATTTGTAGAAATTTGTATCATTCAAAGGGTCAAAATTGTTGGTGTCAACACATGTATACTGTGACCCTTTATCTTACCTCTGTTGTCAAAAGGAATGATCTGGCACCATGGGGGGATGGTGTTTGTCTGGTTGTAGGGGTCTATTCTACATCTCAGTACTGCTCCCCCTCTCACTATCTCCGGCTGGCCTGTCTGAGCCCGGGGGGCCCCCACAAGCATCCTACAATAAGCAACAAAACAGTTTCATATACAGAATTATTGAACCTCCCCACCAGCATCCTACAAATCTAACCAACAAAACAGTTCCAGTATCCAAATCTCAGTCTAGGAGACCTGACACTTCCAGGGCATACTGGATGGCACCAAATGTAACATGAAGACAGAGATGCATGCAGTATGGCTCATCAGTGACATTAAGGGATGCAGAGGGATCCAGAGGTGGGTGGGGGCTATGGGGATTCAACCCAACCCCAACCCCCCTTGAACTGGATTTGCAAAAACAGAGAGAGACAGAAGAAAGTCCCAAATTTTTGTTGTGTTTTTAGTTTAGAAAATGTTCAGTGAAAGGCTATTGTTGTAGAATATAAAAAAAAAAATGAAACCCCACCCCCTTTACAAAATAGGATTTTCGGGTTCGGGGATTTATTTTCCTTTCTTTTTCAAGAACTTTCAGGTAATTAATCCATACGCATATTTTTTCCCAGTTGATTGACCACCCACTTTTAACAACTATACTCCAACCTATATCCTATTGAATTATTTTACTACATGTATATGTAAAACATATGTTATAATAAATCTTTCAATCCCCTCTTTGAAAAATTTCTAGATCTGCACTTGGGATGCATCAATAGTAGTGTTTGGAGAATTAACAATACTTATGATATGGCCATAATATTAAAGCTTGTAAATATATGTTCAGAAATTCCATATATATCAAAATTTATGTCAAATTCAGAACGTAACTGAACTAACGATATGCCACTTTTTATTTGCAAATCAAAGAGAAACAAATCACCTGTCATGCAATACATTATGCCAACAGGTTTATGTTACATGTACAAGAGTTCTGGACAGTTGACAGACATTATTACAGGTGACAATGTAAGGTCACTTGTACCTGGCTGACCATTGAGTAATTTTGCTTTTTGATGGCACACTTAGATTTTGTGAGAGATTTTAGACATTTGTTATGAACCACTATTATTGTTACATTTACTCTCTCTTTTGTTAGGTCTATTAAGATAGCTAGGTTCTCATATTGACATATTTCGGCATTACTGTAATTGTAGTCTTTCCCTCCCTGACAGTTAATAAATGGAGATTTAGCTAGGGGTCATCTCTGGTGTGTGTTAACTACATGTAGCTGACATCAATAAGTGTAATTTGATACACACTTGACATTCAATTATAGACAAATCTCTGTCACTAAAACGTTTACCAAACACAGATTGACAACAGTGACCTTGAAAGCATTCTCAGGACCAATTTTCTTCACAAGAGGGAGTAGCTATAGAGGCAGTTTGGGCAGTATTAAATTATCAGAACCATTCTCTATAATGACTATTACACTGTATAGGAGGTGTGGCATGAAATTCTCCAAACTCTCAATGATAAAAGTCCTAGATACCCCAATCTAAAATCAAGCAAAAATTGGTTACTATGTATTACAGTTACCATGGCAACATGTCTTAAATTACATGTTCATTAATCTTAATCTACATTGTAGCCAGGCCTGTATATAGATGGGATGAGGTGGACAATTTCAATATAGTTATGAAGCAAACATCCCCCAAATCAGACCTATACCTAGAACAAGCTGTTTACTTTCCAATTTTTCTCAAATTTGGAAATTTTCTAGGAATGAGTGAGAACCCCCACCCCACCCCACCAAATAAAATTCTGGATACACGCAAGAATCAACAAAAAAAAAAAATGAGTCATTTCTAAACCTTACGATAGTTTGTGGGTCCGTGATGTTATGCTGAGTTGCTGACTTTAGCTGCTTTTCTTATATTAAGGTGCACTTGATGCCCCATAATAGAAATCCCCCTTTTCACCTGGTGCTCATCGAAGTCATTGCAGTTCAACGCGATCAATATCAATTGATAAATTGGATGGAGGGCCTAATGAGAATTGCACGTCGCTATCAAATGACACACTTACCCCACATGTATGTTTATATTGACTCAGGACACGTGCATGGTATGAAATATCGGTAAACACTGCGTATCGTTTACGAGTTGTGGTTTCGGACACTATCCATCAAGATCGGACGTAAAACGCTGATGTTACGAATGATTATGGCATTAATCAAAATCAGTGGATAAGTGCCCAAGTTATTGGCATGTCCGGTAATTAATCAATGCGTAACGTCGTGATTTGGTGAATATTTTGCCAAGACCTCGGAAATAACAAACTGAAAAGTCATGTATTTTATTTCCGAAACCGACGTAGAATCAATAGAAGTTCTAACTAGAGCTATTTTTACTAAACTTTCGTTTCTTTTCTCACTGTTTCTCAGTTTATCTAGATAAAACTTTTTAAAACTTATTTTTAAAAGAAATCGGCGCTTCTCTTACAAAAGTAATTCATGATAAAAGACACGATAGACAGAAAAGAAAGGCGCTTTGTCAGCGTTGAACAGCAGTTAAAGTAGGGTGGATGTTTTCTCGGGGATATCTTTTAACACCTAACATCAACATTATGACACTTAACTGCTTAACATATTTGTGCAGCACAATGCATTTTCAATGCAAACGATAGAGGGGGATATGCAGCTGTTAGTGTTTTATGTACAGTGTGGTATTTAAAATCATATCACCGTAAACCGACCCTACTGCTTCAATATTGAGATAAATTCCTACATGTCCAAAGGCTCAGGTGCAGCGCTCATCCAATCAAGTTTATGTGTATCGTGGCGTCGTTTTTTTTATGGATCTACACATGTACGGCCGACACCAGGGGGTATGAGGCAGCGGCTAACACACGCCTGGTGTGTAATCATTCTCCCAGCAGGCCACTTCCTCTCAAGACATTACCGGTGGATCCCTCTCTTTCTTCCCTCCTTATCATACTTATCATCTGATGCCAAGATCTATCGTTGTGTAATCCCTCCGCGATAACCCCACTCCCCCACTGATTACCCTACTGAGAGGACTAAAGATACCCCAACTTTATGTCCTTACGGACTCTGTCCTCAAAGGGTTTTTTTCTTTGAAAGATAAGGTTCTTTGAACTTAAACAACAACAAGATGGACATAGTTAAAGATTAATGACTATAATAAAGTATATATCACACCTTAGTATATGGCCCTGCCTAGGGGTCTAAAAAGAATCCGTGTGTGCATTTCAGCAATTAACACTGATTAATAGTAAACCATACTGCCCCCTTACAATAAGCAAATACGAAACTTTTTTTAAAATCTTTAAAGTTATATTTTTAATTTCCGATTCATTTTAATTCTCAACTTGAGTACTGCACCTCCACTCTAAAGAATATTTGAAGAAGTGCCTCTCAAGCTTATGTTGCCAAGAGGTCAAAACTTCAATTAGGGAGGAAAAAACCTATAGCGTTAAAGACAGGAAGTGTGTGCTGTGGCTTCAGCTGCCCTCAACTCTCTGTGAAGGTTGGATGCCAATACATGATTGAACACCAGAACATCTATGTTACGTGTAGGGGGTGTTATCGCACAATGAGGTAAACATCTGATATACATGGGGGAAAAGCTCCTATCACAGTATCAGAAATCTACATCAGAACATTTAATTATATAGATAATGGACAAAGAGAAAGTGGTTTATCATGTTCATACAGAATTTTATACAGATTCTGAGGAAAACTTTAGTTTCCTCATTTCACCTGTTGAAATTCATCTTACCACGATTGGCCTTGGTCTATATGCTGAGCTACTGAGTATCCAAACATATCTCCGGCGTTGCCTTTTTGTATAACTGGAGACTTGATATCCATATTAAAACCCAGAATAGTGGGGAACACAAACATCAGCGAAAAGAAAATCACAAAAAACACTTGATTGCTCTTACATCCCAAAACCATCCTATCTTTAAGGCATCGAGAACACAGAGAAAAGAATCTACAAGTTACAGACACAGAAGAAGTGGGACTAGACTTAGAATCCATCCTAACAAATAAAGCACAGAGAAAATAATGTAAAAATATCCCTTCCTGAATATATCACTGTTTATACATAGTTATTTTTTTTCCCTCTTCTATATGACTGAAGTCTTTCTTCTCAAGATACATGTAAGTGTTCATGAACGATTCCACTTTCCATCGAGGGGCGATCAAGTCTCCGTGCATTGGCAGGTAGGTGTGATGCGCACGCCATATATAGATAGCGCCCCTGACGCATCTTTTCCGATTCATCTTTTTGAAGCTTGTAAAACCGACTACCTGCGGGGGTTCTGTATAACGGTGTCAGTATTTGTTTTAGGCAACAATTAAAACAAATAAAACACCTCTAAATAGCCCCAAATAGCAATAAACTAAATCAATTGTAAAAGTACATTTTTCTTCAACATCGCATGCATTGCAAGTGAAAATTTCTTGCAAATTTTGTTTTGGTTAGTTGTAACAATTTTAAAATAATTAAACAGCTCTGCCTATCCACTTCAAAATGATTGTACTATTACTCAATTAATATTGATGCCAAACATATTTTGGTATAGAAAAAAACCAGAGCGTTTATTTTCAATAACACTATATTCTTAACCCCCCCCCCCCCCCCTCGGAATTGATATAAATAAAAACAAATAACGGTATTTCTTTCTTATTCATCGGTACAGTTTTAATCATGCAGAAGATATTCATGCAAGTGCGAAGGAAATGCACTATTTTTGTAAACATTTATAAAGGTTAGAAAAATGCAATAAAAATTCTCCCCCAAAAGGTGCGCCGTGAAACGTGTGGTTTTTACTGAAAAATCAAAAGTAATAGATGTTGATTCTCCCTCAAATTTTACCTCCCAAGTTTCATTAAGTTTTGAGTAGATTTTAACAGTCGTCAAACAAAAGGATTGTAGTTGCATGGACAACATTTACAGAAAAAATTTAAAGATAAAGCGATAAATAGAATAATAAACCCTCGATGTGAAAAAAAATATCTCAGCATTTTACCACGAAAAACTTCAATGCAACTTGACAAATAGGAGGAAAATATCAATATATCATTATGTTTGAAAGGTTTCCCAAACTTCCAAACAAAAGGTTCTTTTTAAATTATTTGCGACAAAAACGTTTCTTAATGAGTGTACTGCAACATTCAGATTTCTTTTTTTTTTTTAATTTCCGATATTCTGTAATGAATTACCTTTTCGTAAGATGAATAGAATACACCTGTTTTTCTGTTTTTCAATTGAATTTTTTGGATATTGTGCACCCTTCTAATAAACTTTCATAATTATCCAGTTTGTCCCTAAATTAATTAGATGCTGCACGTTTAGTCTGTGTAAGAAGGTACTTGAACTTCGGTTTTCTAAATTGTCAATATTTTCACTGTGAAATTAACAAAGGACAAGATAGGCAATGACACCTTTTTGGCCCTTGGTTTGGGGGGTCTTTTAGAATGATTCAACAGTTTATCAATAAAAACCACTTGTCACCCTCACCACAAAATGAGTATTAGTTCTGAGTTATGTGATGCACAGAGGTCACAGGAAGGTCAGAAAAAATGTCAATTTCTAAATTTTTCTCTTATAAATTTTACAGCATATTTTGTTTCAGAAAACAGAGAACACAAGCTTAAAATTGCATATCTGATAAATTTATGCATTACATATAGTATCAGATGCATTCTGTATTAGCAATTTAGCACACATGTATCTATAGTGTCTTGAGATATTATAGAGTAATTCGTGACCTATAATTATGATAAACATTATCGTATATTCTGAATAAGTATAATTTGTGCAAACATAACTTTATTAATTTGCTCGTCTACATCACATTTGTATGACTGACAAATTGTGTGTATGGGAGTTATCGTTCTTTGGTTGCTCTCTGAGGAGGTGACATTTTTTGGACAAGAAACACTCTTAAATGTTAGGAAAAATACAACTTTCTGTGCGATTGTTTTGAAAGACTGCAAGTCTAGAATTAAAAAAATCCCCTCTTGATTAAAGAACGTGCTGATTACACTTCCTTTAAGAGAGAGAAAGAGGGGGTTATAGGATTGCAAAACCAGTTTAAAAGAAAATTGAAAATAAAATTGTATTTATATTAGTTAGCATTCAAATAACATTATTCATGCTTTTAAAGAATAAGTTCATCATCCTTAAGTTTATTACTTAGTGGCAGGTTAATTTCATTAAAATAACACGTTAATCTCTTCACATATTGATCGCCACTCCATAGGTTTATGACAAATCCCAAAGACCAATTGATTTTTTTAAACATTATGTTATTGATAGGTAACCAAGAGGGAACGCCAATCAAAATACCGTCTTCACTTGATCGAAAATCCAGGATTACAATGGGCGAAGCATGCACCAGTAATTCCCTTTTTTAGTTCTTTAAAAGTCTAGTTCATTATTAAATGATTACGACTGCATCGGGTAAAAATTTCACCTTAAAATGTCCGCCTTTTAAAGAATTGTGTATTCGTTGAACTGAGTGTTGGATATAAATCCGTATATGTATTTGGGACTATAGAAATGGATCTTAGTTCAAACTCCGTGTTATTCTTGACCATCCTGGTCCTGGGATGTGCCTCTAACGGTAATATTTTCTGAGTGAAATAACGATCTACTTTCAAATTTAGAATTTCGCCTTTTCAATTGATTTTAAGGCACAATGTGATTCTAAGAAAATTTGTGTGAATTTAAGAAAATAATCGATGATTGAACCTCTCCTATTGAAATTGATAACTACACGCATATGTTTACACACAATCTTAAATGTGTGTGTGAATTTCAGTAATTTATCAATGATTGAAATTAATAACTACATTTTGCATAATTTAATTTTTAAACTGTAATATTAAATATTTCAGCCTTGGCGATTGATTGCTGGGTGTGTAACTCTGACAGTGACCCTACAAACTGTGGAGAGACCATCAATGATATAGGACTACAGGACGCAAAGAGTACGGCGTCAAACTGCGCCGCGTGTGGCAAATACTTCAAAAGTCTTGGAACAGGTACTTATAAATTCTTTATTACATCGAAAATTTCTTTGAACGTGCCTAACATTAATAAAATTTAAAAACAATTAAAAAGTAAAGAAATGAATTGCTCAAATGATTTATATAATTATACATTTCCAGAATATTTTATATTTCATATATTATCGCAGAGTAACAAGTTTGAAATATGCACAAAATGTCAATAGAATAAACAAACGGGCTCTGCAAAATTATGTAATCTAGCAATAATTCATGCTAGTGCACACACAATACACGTGCAGGACCACTTATTGCTTTGACTGAAAGTGGTTCATATTTAAGTGGCGAAGAGAAAATAAGTGTACAGTTTTTAAAGGGTTTATAGAAAAGAGTATTGATCGATTAAAGATTTTGTAATTAAACTTTTCAATGGAAATGGTCCAAGACCATATTGAACATGAATTCAGAACACAATTTTAGTGGATCAGATATATTTGATGACATTCAACACGATTTACAAAATTCAAATGTGCACACACAAGTACTTTTTCATTTACATAGTTTATATAAAATTTATTGTAGTGTGAAACTGAGAGCCTTAAAAGGAGTAAAAAGCATGCAATAGAGACAAACACCCCATATCCTACAATGTTATCTGCAATAACGTAGCCCTCTCTGATCTGGTATTTTCTGGAGAGACCCCCCTCCCAAAAAAAAAGGGAGAGGGCTACATTATTGCAGCTACCCATATCCCCCATAAGTTTCTTTTATCAAACAACAAGATGTGTTTGTGAAACACTATGCGCGCGCCAGCAACAAAGTTCGGAAAAAGCTATTTTAGCATTTAGGTCACAGTCAAGGTCACAAGGTCATTGACCTTGGTGTCATTTGAAAGAGCTTAATTAGTGAAGTATGCATACCAAATATGAAGTCTCTATCTTTCATGGTTCAAAAGTTATGGTGAAGGTTAAGGTTCGGGACAAACAAACAGACAGACAGACAGGACAAAAACAATATCCGCCCTGGATCTATCGATCCGGGCGCATAAAAACGTTTCTTGTAATTTAACGCCTGGAATTTTTAACGTCTTATACTCAGTAATAATGGGAATTTTTTTCTCCATATTTTATTAACAATAATATTATTTTTTAAACAGTTTTTACATATGTGGAGCGGTCATGTCTCACCTCTGAGTCGGACACGTGTGACAACAAAATGGGGTACGGCTACTGTACGTGTTCCACCACTTACTGTAATGGCCAGGAGCGGATCTCACTAACGACGCCCCTGGTTCTGCTAACAACTGTTTGTGTTGTTCTGTTCAAATATTTATGAAACATCCCAACAAACATTTGAAGAGGATTGGAGAATCAGTATTAAAACTTTTGGACTTATTTGACAGTTGGAGGCGCGGATTTTTTAAAAACAAAATTGATCGTTCATTCTTCAAGTTTGAATTGTTTCATAAATGTAAAATCTTGACTGCTTCAAAGTTTTTTACCTTGCCGAAAATTGAAACATTTTTTGAAGACATTGTTTAAGTCAATTGAAGCAAAAAATGGTTTTTCGTACTTCAGAGAAAGAGAGAAAGAAACGCAATTGGTGCTTTGAATTAGTGTTGTGTTTTATGTTACGTACAATATTTCTTAGACCGTTATGTGTTGAACTTCATTATTAGGTGTATTATATTTATATCATGTTTTTTCTATATATGAAACAGTTTTATTTGTTTTCATTTTTTCCCTTTTATATCATTTATGTATTGTATAAGTTGGGTATTTCTTAAAATAAATTGTGAAAAAAAATTACCAGAGTATTTGTTGCCTTTTGTCTATTATATTGTATATATCCGTTTTTTTAAGTTAAAAAACATATATATACATTTCAAATAATTTTTTTTTTAAATAATGTATATTGTTATATAATTTACTTCGAAACACTAAGTGAAAGTCCCCTTATTTATCATTACATATATTATATTATTGTAAATAAAAATTATTCAAATACAGCCAATATTTTTTCGGGATTCATCATTTTAAGAGAACTTGAGTACAAGTATACATGCATATTATTTTTCAAAGAATACTCATATGGTATAGGAATTCAGTAGTCCCAGTGTTTTTGTATGTGTTTTTTGTCGCGCAGTACCACTGATGGCCCCGGGGGACGGGCCTGACCGGTGACTTATTTATATAGATGTAAGAAAAGGAAGTATACATATACATCGTAAAGTAACAAGCATTGTACTCAATCAACCGTAAAATGGCGAGGGGGAGAAAGAGGGAAAGATACATGTTTAAGATGATCTTTTAAAAATAATTTACGAAATGATTTAGATAAATAGAGATCAAAATAAGGATTATGTATTATTTTTAAGAATAAAACTAAATGTATACTTTATTTAAGACAAGGGCTGTTTTTAACACGAAGGCAATAACTAATGAATCCCTATGGTGCCCCATTCTTGCACCTTTTCGATGTATGAATATTATACCCCGAATTCAACAATACTGATACGGATGTATGTATTACTATGTGTTGATTTTTTGTAAGTGGGATATATCCTGAAAATAAGGTAAGAATTATTCTTGAAAAATTAATTCTTTTCACCAGTAACTGCCATGCTGTCAATGTAATCAAAAAGCACACAAACGTAACAATTGCTGTATCTTGCTTGAAGGGAATTTCAAGTGTTGTCATACATGTAATAGTTTTAATTTTGAATTTAAAAAAATCCTTTGTTTATGTCCAGTAATTGCCCCATCCAAAAACACACATGAGCTGACGAAAGGATAGTATTCAATCCTTTTAGAAAATTTAGAAGACACGATTAGATCTACTTATCAAAAGTACATGAACTTCTAGCCCTTAATGGAATATAAGATATTGTATTTTTATATACCATAGAGACCCAATCTCTAAACCTAATGTGAACAGAATCTAAATGAATTATAAGCATGATAGGCTAGGAATTTATGTATTTTTGATAATTAATCGTGTCTAAATTTTTCCGAGTCGGAAAGTTTGAGGTGGGGGTGGAGAACACCATTCATTCGTCATGTTTCTGTAGATAAATAATAATATGCATAAAAAACAAATACAGAAATCATTTGATACTAGCATACTTATAGCAGTAAATTTATATTGATATGTCACGTCATTATCATTTCATAGTTTCCAGGAATGATAAATTTGTTTGTTCGTTAGTACAAGTATTATCGAAAAGTCCAGCTACCATCTATAATTTTTGATTGTTAATTTTGATTCATATTAAAGAGAAATGCAGTGCAGGTATATCTTTATATAAAACGAGAATTTTAAATTGGCTCGCAATTAAAAGAATTTCACTCAACACAAAATTTCCCCTGGACGTTTTGCATATATTATACCCAATCAGTTTTCGATATAAAAATTAGCAGAAGTAACGGTTGTTCATCTTCTTTGCTGTTCTTTGTGTCATCTTCAGTATCTGCTCCATACCAGTAGATAAACTACAAAATACGAAGCCTGCTTTTTTTAAGTACACATATATACAGAAGTAATGGAGTGGTCAAATATTAAGGTACATTGACACTCTGATAAGAGAGATAACTCTCAACGGCATAAATGTCTATTTTCCTTTATAAATTTGTGAAGTTGAAGTGTCTTTTTTGTCCAATTTTGCCTCGCAAAGCATGCTATTATAGTCTATAATTGTTTGTATTTTACTTAACAAATACATATTCCCCCTAGAATTATAAAAATTAAGAAACATATCTTAAGTTATATAAATTGAGCGGAGGGTTTATAAACCTTAAATGAGTTTCATCTTTAAAGTGTTTTGTTTCTTTTACAGCATGTTTAAGTTTGGAGCAGTATTAATGGTTGTGTTTATAAATGTCCACATTCCCACATCCGTCCTTTGTTCCGACCTCAAGACAATTGATGTCGATAACCTAATGCGTGAGTACCTTAAAGTTCTGTCAATAGATTTAAGTTGAAAGTCTTTTTCGTGTAAGATTTCTCTAATATTAATGTAAATGAAGTTTGCTTTTAGTTCAAGTCTTAACATGTTTCTAATATTTTACATTCTAGTTTTAAATGTTGCTGTCAAGGGGAGACTAATCAACAAACTGACAGAGGCGATAAAAGAAGCTCAGACTTCGCGGCAGGTGTTAGTAGGGGAGGTAAAAGACTGTCTGGTTCAGGCCTCGGCTAGTCACGTGTTATGTAGGGAGTGTGTTCGAAATCTCTGTGAGAAAAGGTGAGGTACTTCCCCCCCCCCCCTCGAAAACTATCATGTTTAAAGACCCTTTATTGGATTGAATTAATGATATCACCTTTTTGATTTCCGGTGTTAATATCACCTATTCGACTAGATGATATCACTAGATGATAATAAATATCATAACAGCGCCTTACACAAATCTGCATAATATGGATATTAAGAAATAAAATTCATGTGTGCCTTTTGTACTGCAGGACTTTACAGTGTAATGGCAACATAAATGAAGTGGAGATCGTAATGAAGAAAGAAGAAGAGACACCAATTCCGGAAGTGAAAATTGTGGAACCGGATGTAAAGCTAGCAGAAACAGTGATAGAAATGTCAAATACAGCTAAAGACGATCTTTTGAAAGAAGTACATGTACTTAAATCTTTTAATAGCAGCAGTGTAATTAATAATTGAACAGCAAATACCTTTCATGTCTATCTTATAGGTATTGTCTTCTTTTTTATATGCTATCTTCTTTCTTAGGTTCCAGAGAGTTTGCAAAATGAAGGAAAATATTTAGTGGAGGAGGCACAGACGGAATCTAAATTGGAGACCCTTAGACGGACACTAGGGGAAGGGTTCCACAAAGCAATGGATACTATTCCAAAACTGATCCCAAAAGTGAAAGACGCATTCATCAACATGGAAACCCAACTTTCTGATCCTCAAACCATCGATCGTTTGGCCAATGGTGCTGCAGAGCAGGTAATGAAACAACATTAACCTCGCAGGCATCTTACTATATAGTAGAGGGTGCTCTAACAAACAAGTGCATGCCTCTGACGTTCTTACTTGTATTTTATGCTAAGCCCGAAGTATATCTTTTCGACCGTCAGCATCGTGACGCTAAGTCCACATTTGAAAAAAGCGCTACATGTTACTTGTGCAACTAATTTTTGTCCTTCAAATTTTCTATTTCCAAATCTAACCCCAATAGGTTGCCATAGCAATGCAAGGAAAGCAAGAAGTAGAAGAGGAGTTAAATCGCAACATGGATGTCATCCAGCAGAAACTCCCAGGAGTTCTAGAGACCGTTAATAACCACTTCAGCAACATGATGTCCTCTGTCAAATCCTTCATGAGAACCACTGTTCAGAAGGTGAACCAGATGCAAGGTAAAAAATTATATATATTAGACCATTATTTACACACTGAATTGTCGACGGAATTTTTCATTATTTTCCGATCATGACGAGGAGCACACGGCGGGTGTGACAGGTCGGCAAGGGATGCTTACTCTTCCATGGCACCTGATCCCATCTCGGATCTTTTAGAGGACCATGTTTGCTCTACTCCAATATTTGTATTGTTCGATGCATGGACTTCTGTGCTTGAATACTGTTTGTTATCTCCATATATTTCACACACATGTACATGAATGTTGTGAAATGTTCATATTGAAAATTTTAACAAAGCATAAAAATTGGATGAGTATAAATTAATCATTGCAATTAATATTACTTTTTTACCTATACAGGAAGTGAAAAATTTGGAAAGATTTTTAATTTTCCAAAGTCTGGGAATGACGAAAAGAAGTGGTCCACATCAATTATTTCTTTACACATTATGAGACCGGATGGAAAAGTGACGTCATGGAGAAAATCTAATCAGATGATGACACCTCAAGTGTCCCTAAATCCAAATCAGGCTCCACGACCCACCCAAATCAGCCAGATTCCTAGTATGTATATACATGTTACTCTAGCATGCTAGAAATTCGCGGTATTTCTGAACTGGTCAAAAATATATATTATTAAGGAACGTAGGGACGTTAGCCGAGGCTCTTATACTTGTAAATGTAGTATATTTTACATTCTGGCTTATTACATGTACACACACCGTACTGGCAATGAAATGTAATGCATGAATGTATTATAACAAAATTATACATGTAGTAACAATTCAGTAAGAACAACCACAAAGCAAATGAACATCTGACAAAAGAAAAGATTAACAAGCATCACATTCTCCACAGTTGATTTGATAAGTTTGCAGGGGATGCTCACACCTTCATGGCACCTGATCCCACCTCTGATGTTATATATATGTTCGTTTTTGCGCTTCTCCTTTGAATGGACCTCCGAGTTTGAATAATGTTTGTTATCTCCATTTGTTTCACGCTCGAGTGATTGCAAAGGATGACTGCAATTAAAGACTTACGAAGTTTACATCAAAAAAAATTTCTCAAGTTCAAGTTCATTTTATTCACTCAGACCATATCAATGGTACATGAGGTTCAACAATATGTACAATATATACAAAGAATAATATACAAGATACACGTGAAATGGCGGAAATATTCATATAAAGTAACAAAGATAACTATGGAGGACAGACTTTTTCATATACTCTATTTATGTAACAGCATAGTTTAATCAATAGTTTGGAGTCAGCAGATGACAACAATTCTGATAATTTGAAAAAATTTGGTCTATTACAATATATACTGGGAAGATATTTTTTTCTACATTCGGAAAAATATTTGCATTCTAAAATGTAGTGATACTCATCAGCTATTTGTCCATTATTACAAAGATTACATTGTCTATCATTTTTGGGAATCCCAAACCATCTCCCATCTCAAATCAATGTTTTTATTTTAATTGCAGGAATGACCATACATCTAATTAACAGCTTCACGTAATTATAATAAACATCAGTATTATTCGCGAATTAGGAATCTGTTTTTCTAAGGAATTGCAATACAAATCAAACCTTTATACTATAGAATCGATAGGGAAGGATGTCGGTTTTAATATAACTCCTGGCGGCCGGTTATATGATATGAAAGTTTTAAGTCACCATGCGTTTCTGCGGAGTTAGAACAATTTGAATAAAAAATATTTAACATTCATGTAATAGAATATTAAGAAAGAGTGTCTGAATGTAAGTTAAAAACGCATAATAATCATCAAACTAATATTTTATGAATAATGGGTTAAATGTTTCATCCAATCCTGATTGACAAATTCCTACGTAACTGAAGTGCGGAGAAATAAGCACACATGTTGGGCATAGTCTAAAGCAAGGACCGCGTTATATGATTGCCTAAACAAATTTTACTTTCTCTACTTCAACAGGATTTGTTGTATATATAATTTAAAATGACGTAAAATATAAATACACAATGTACTTTTAATACGGAAAATTTTCAAAATCATGACTTAATCTTAATTTATTATCAGACAGAATATTAGGAGATTTTTCTCCAACAGACAAGGATAAAGCGCGTTTTACGACATGCCAAACCTTTTCCCGCCACATCTCACACCAAAACAAGACAGAGAAGAAATGTAGTGGCGGATCTAGAGGGATTTGGGGGTTTCAACATCCTCTGAGCGAGCGAGGAGCCCCATATAGTTGTTACGTTTTATTTAATGTTAAACTATCTCTAGTTAGATAAGTTTAAACGTTAGTTTTAATGGTTAAGTGTTAAAACTACTTAAACATCAAACTTCCGCCAGAGTTCCTTAATAGTACCAATTAAACTTACTGGGTCAGGGGACGCAGAGGGCTAAGAGTAAGTTGCTTAAATACATTGTACATGTAGCAATGTACATGTATTATGTACTGAAGAAAATCCTGGGATGTCGCATTCAAATGTTTAATGTCACAGGGATATATTAATTAACAGATAAATATAAGAATTCAGTTTCTAATTTATTATATGAAAGAATTAATTAATTGGTTTGCGGCCGATTTTTGACGCTTGCGTCAATATGTTTCTTGTTTATATTGAAACTGTAAACAAATTTGAAGATGGGTGAATAAGGCGGGCAGAATGCCTATAGTGCGACAGATAAGAAGTGAAAATTTTAATCTCAACTGAATCCAAATTTTACCTGATATTTCATCTAATATTAAAGTATACTTTATGTAAAATCTCTACAATTTACAACAATCTCACAAAGACTGAAAATATTTGTGTATGAAAATGCTTACACACACTAAAACGAACAAAAACGATCATTTTCTCATACTTAAACAAAATTTTTCAATATGGGTGGGTCTTCTCTCCATTTTTTTGAAAGATGATCCTAAAAGTGTGCTCTAAATTCACATTTTTTGGTTTTCAAAAACATGGAGCTAAGACCCACTATACTTTAAAAATACAATTTTATGACACAACATTAGCATCTTTCCGAGAAATACTTCAAGTCCATTAAGTCGCGGGTCATATCACAAACATGATTTAAATGCCTAAAATCACCATGAGCAGTGCAGCATAGTGGTTAACGCGTTAGTCTCAAAGCAGTATGCTATTGATACGTCGGATTTTTATTGCTAGGGTTCGAATTTTCGCGAGGTTCGAGAGAGCCTCGTTATCGCGAATAAAAATTGTCTTACAGTACATGTGAATAATTTAAAAATCTGACTAAGGGATTCTTAAGAAACATCGACCTAACTAGGATCTCGCAATATGAGTGTTTCGTTTTATGTTGTGATTTGAGATATACTTAATTAAGAATTAAGTACTACTTATAGTTTTTGTGTAAATCATTAATGTCTTGTGAATTTCAGGGCGGTTCCAGAGAGGTGCCAATGACGCCAGCTGTGATGACATAGCAAAGAATCCTCAGCAAGCTTGCGAAGTTTATCACTTCCAATGCCAGTCCTGTGCAAATGACACAATTCTGCTACAGCACAGTAAGACACAATTCTGATTTAATAAAATCCAGCAACATGTATTTAGGATAAGCACTATAGTATCTTTGTCATGCGTGGCTTTTTTTTAATTCCTAGAACAATTATTTAATAAATATACCCTTAAAGGGAAGATCTACCGTTTTTTTTTCTCAAGAAATCACTAAGTTTATATTTAAATTCAAAGAATGTGGGAAGGCAGCCCTGAAGAAAATGGTCGACATTAAGATGCTGGATATGAAGACTGCCATGTATGTAACAGTGTACACCAAGTACCTCAGACACGGTCTGGTGGTGGAGAAGGTAATGTAACTCTCAATACGTATCATAGCTGCAGATCCGTAGCTCACTGGTCTGAAATTATTTGGATGGATGGTCACCAGAGACCGTGTAGCTACAAGTCTGCAGCTACAGAACTGTGCTAGACCTAGTAAAATGTCACAGTCAAGTATCATAATAATATACATAACATATATAAGTGTACATTCTTTGTAAACTTATTTTACCTGAAAATTTTAAAATAAATTTTGATTGGAAAAATGCCAAAATTTCCTAGAAATTGGATGAATTACTTAAAAAGCATGAAAATAAGACAACCAGTTAAAAATAATTACAGTTTTACAATTTGGAATGTTCAAAGGCAAATAGGAAAAATATAATTTTGACCAAAATTTCCGAGTACATGTAGTACTAGTATTTCATTGCTAAAATTTAAGTCCAAACAAAATGAAAATATGTTCCAAAGCCTCCTTTTTTACACAACGAAATAAATGAAAGTTTTGTTGTTGTTTTTTTATTCTAAAGGTGAAGTATGATGCAAACAGTTACGATTCTACCAACAAAGTGTATAGGTCAGCATTTGTTACGGCAAAACTCGGCAAGAAAATTATCACTTACGAGACTTCCGCTTTACCGGCATTTACCGATTTGTCTTCGTCTGGTGGAGAAATTGGAGAAGAATTGTGGGAAATTATGAATAATGAAGACGAATTCGAGCCAGGTCATTTTGTTAAATCCTTTGAAGATGATTTAGAAGAAGCCTACAATTTGAGACAAACTGCTAAATCTGGATGCGTTCAATCTGCCGTCAATTCAGTGGTGTTTACAGTGCTAGGAGTGATTTTCTACTTCGGCTTCATTGCCTTGTAAAAACAAAAAGGTGAAAATATCAAAATATTTGGATGATATTCTTCCATTAATTAGAACAAGAATAGAATTTTATATATATATAAAATCATCTGCATATATTAAGTTTGGGTTAATGAAATAAAAAATCTTCTTAAAGTTAGAACTTTGATCTGCTCCAAATATTTTATATTGACACAAACATTTTTATTTACAGTCAAATCTGACTTTTTTCAATATGAAATTTTTTTAGAATTAACCTCTTAAAAATATTACAGTAAAAAAAATGCCTATTACGATCAGTGCCAGGGACTGTTGCTTCCTTATAAGCATAATTTGTTATATCTGTGAAGTTTATAATCTATTAATTTTGAAGTCAAGAGGAATTGAAATTACTTCATTGCAAGAGTCAGTTCGTTATAAGCATGTTTACAAAAAACGTGTTTTACTGTATGTAAATATTTTTTTTACTTTGATATACATGTAATTTGTGAACGGTTGTACCTGTCTCATTTACGGGTTACATATCATGGTTAAAACTCCAGGTTTGAGTCTTTCTCATTCATTGATTTCACTTCATAATAAACCTAGTTCCATAAAAAAACAACATATGTACAGTAAAACTTGCTTATAACAAAGTTCTAGAGACGGACTATTTTGCTTCATTATAATCATAATCTGTCAAGTTCAAATAATATTTTAAATCCAAGGGGAATGAAAATCACTTTGCAATGAGTGTCAATTCATAAGAACTGAAGTGTTTTCATTATATCCATGTTTTACTGTATTTAGAAAATAAATACACATACAAGTCTGTTGCATCACTCAATCTTACAGCTGTTATGTCTGTCAAGGTATTTACACAGTTCTTGACCAAGACATATTCCTGGAGTATAAACCATGATGTGTGTTCTGTATTTTTTTTGCTCACTGATTTTTTTTTTTTTTTTTTTTTTTTTACATGTAATGAAGTTTATGAAATTTGATTTTTGTGTCTCAGACTTTTGTCTCCCTTTATTACATGTATTCCATTCCATGTATTTTGAAAATTACAGTGTGTTGTGTTTTATGATATTTTTTTTATTTATTAAACCTATAAAATAATTTAATTTTCTCATTATTATTTACATTGTTCCAACACAGCCATTGTTAGTGAAAAGGCAATACTATGTGTGTCACTATAAAATTCTACAGCATTTGTCACTGAGTCTTTGTTCACCATGGTCAAAAGTAAAAAGAGAAAAAAAAAGTCTCCCAAAAATCAAAATGATTAAGTGCAACCTTTCATTCTTCCATACAGAACCATTATCTCTGATACTGGCTGAACAGATTCAGCATTATGGTAATCTTCAGGTGGTACATTAGCTGCAGATCTGTAGCTCTCCGAAAAAAATATATTGATAGACCGGAGAGCTACAGTGCCACCCATTGAAAAAACTGTATATTTATTGTGCACAAAAAAGTGCGCTCGGTTCTTGATTAATTCGTCAAAATTCTAACCTCAATTGCAAAAATGGAATATTTAAAAAAATCCCTTTCTCCTCTATCAAGTACTCACGTAGTTAACATCTGAATGAAGCATATTAGACCGAATTATCTTTAAAACCAAAATGGCAATATAAATAAGCGAAATTTTTGATGATTACAATATCAGGGTCAGGAGGACTATTAACAACAATTATGAGGAATGTTTGGTTGTTGAAACAGCGAAAGAATATGTGAGGAACATACGGTTAGTAATATTTTGAGATTACAGATTTATAAACATGGGGAAATAAATCGAGAACCGAGCGCACTTTTTTGTGCGCAATAAATACACAGTTTTTTCAATGGGTGGCACTGTAGCTCTCCAGTCTATCAATATATTTTTTCGGAGAGCTACAGATCTGCAGCTAGTGGTACATGTACATCATTTACTGAATTGTTAAGTTTCAAATAATTGTTACCCTTTTAAAATATGTCAAGTTTCTTACACCTTAGTATAATTATACTTTTAACCATATTTCTTGTTTACATATCTTTGGGGAAAAACCCATCCTATTACTTATAACATCAAATAATGGTGCCAATAAAAGCGAGTAGAAGACTACAAGACATTTCAGTAAGGTGTATTATGTTTTATTTACAGTTTGTAATGTTTGTGTTATGTATCGGGTTTCCTCTGTTTTTCTTTCTTTTCATACATGTTTGGCTCAAAAACCTGTAATAATCAGGAAAAATAAAAATTACACATGTTAAAAAAATGTAACCATTAGGAAGATCTCCATGGTAAAAGAAGGGTAGCAATGAATTTGATAAAAGAAACCAAAAATAAGACAAATTTGTGAAACACCAATAAAGATTTGAAACACCTAATGGAAATAATAATATTTTATAATGAAGAATTTCCCAAACTACCGAAATTTAACAATAAACCATAAAATACAGTGGCAGACAGGGGAAATTAATAGACAAATTATAAAAGTCTTGATGAAACTTATGCAATTAATCTCATATTAGCTATCCGGTATATGTACGGTATTGTAAGTTTCTGTTGTCTCATACTATTCAAATTTCAAAGTTTGTTCCACTATTTCATGGAAGTGGAAATTCTGGATCAGCCCCAGAAACGTCAATGTATTCAAAGAAGAAATAAAATGTTTTTAAAGAAAAATAAAATTTCTGGATGTTGATGACAGACAGACAGTTTGATCTCTATAAGACACCCAAATAATCCCTAAAGCTGAAGGCTCTAAATATACCGTTAAACATTTTTTTCTGTATTTATTGGAACATTCACAATAACACAAATCAAGTGATAAATTCTACAACTGGTCAGCTATACAGTACGTACCTCTTGAACTCTTTTCCTGATCTGGGAGACCGATTTTTTAACAGACTCCTCTTCCTCTGTACAAACTTTTTTCTTCTCTCCCCCTTCCTTAAGCTCTGGTCCCTGTCTTTTCCCAAGCACAAAAGCATTCCTTTGTAATTCTGACTTGACATTGTCACTTGATACATTTTCTTCTTTTCCTGACTTTAGTTTAGTCTTGGCAATGTTTAAAGTTTGTCTTGGTATAAATTTTGGAGTTGATCTTACTGTAGGAGTATTTTTTATGATTAATCCATTGACAGTTTTCATTTCATTTTGTTTGTCAATTTCATCACTTATTTTTGTATCACCCTGTACTCTCTCACATGTTTTTGTATCACCCTGTACTCTCTGTTCTGTAGCCCTCACTGGAACACTACTCACTGATTGTTGTTCATTCTTGTTACAGCTGACACGCCCCTGTCCAGCATCTGCCCTATAGCTTTCTTGAATTGCTCTTGGCAGTGTAGAATGTGCAGAGGGCACCCTAGCGAATTCATAATTTCTCATTCTCTGCGAGTCATAGCGAAATCTGGAACTAAAGTCCTGTTTTGGGGGAGGGGGGAGATGTAACAGTTGTTCTGGTTCCGTAATCTGTTGTTCAGGCCCTGTTTGATAATTAGTCAGTGAAATTTGTGAACCAGCCTCATTATGGACTGGTAATGCAGTACTATCTGGAACCACTGGTTGTGAATGCAGGAACTTGGGAAAATCTTTGTGATCTTTCTCATTGGATGAGACAGTGTTTCTTGCATTGTTTTTCTTAAGTGCTTCTTTCCCTTCAATGAAAAAATTAATTATTTGTATATCAAATGTCTACTTATTTGACTTTAATATCTATGTAGTGTGTAATGCAGAACCCTTGTAGCTGCAGATCTGTTGCTCTCTTAAAAAAGAATTTTACATCCCAGACAGCTACAGTTCTTTAGTTTACCTCGTGCAGGAGAAATGATCATGGACTAGACAAATAATCTCAGATATAAATTATGATAATATAAATGTACCTGGTTTATCAAACCTGTTAACTTCTAATTCTATGATTTCTCCATTACAAATTTATGACTCGTAACAACAATTGTCTGCTGTGTTGTTTTCCTACCCGAGATCCTTATCCTGGATGCCACAGTCCTTCGTCTGTCCTGCAATTTTTGCCTCATTTCCTCAACACTCTCAAATTCTGGAGCATAGCTGACATGTATCACTCCTCCATAAAACGAAAAATCATCGAGCTTCCTCTTGGCAAACCTGCAAATATGAAATTTCTATAAATTCAATGAATCACTTGCCACCCTTTTTATTCATATATCACAACATATCACATCAACATATCTTAATTGTGTTCGTTATTACATGAATACAAGCGAAATAAAAGCTGCTGAAGTGTAATTCTTAAGAACAGTAGGTCCTTCACATAGTTTTTTTTAACTAAAATCTAAAGACACACCTTGCTGCCTGAATTTTTTGAAACTTGACGAGATAAACATCTGTGTATTTGTCAGCGGATGGAAACTCATCCAAAATTCTATATTCATCTACAGCTCCATACACAGCAAACAACTTGATAAGTTCCTGACTGGTCCCCAGAGCTGGTACCCTCTGTACAAGCAGATATGCTGATTCCTGATTCACTGTGTATACCTACAATAACAAAGCTGATAGTCTCATACGATATGTTTACTGATGTTGTTTAAAGGCATTAAACAACAGAATCTTATTTTTTGAGTCTGAAAACATGCTCTTGATTTGTTTGCATTTATACATTATGTGCATATACTGACTGTGCATATATCATTATCAGATCCAGGGACCTGTATATAAAATCTTTGTTTTCTGACATCTTTGATAATTTCAAAAATAATCAATGCTTAATTTTAAAATTTCAACATCAGGAAGTATTTCAAATGTTGCTCGAAAAGTAAAAAACTGCACCTTTGTGGCCTTTGGCAATCTTCCTTCTCTGTAAGCAGGTCTATTTTCAGCGAATTTTGCTTTGACGTGATGCGAAGGTATTTCCATGGGCGCAGCCATTTTTAGGTGATACTAAAACCTGGAAAATTGATCAGAAAACGTCAAGATGAAATGTTATAAATCAAAGTCGCAAAAAAATTTCTTTAATCATACATAAATTTCCATCCTTTAATTTTACAAATAAATAGATTAAAGCGTCTGTATGATAGTTCTCTGTATATATAAACACTACGACCGTTTTTATTTCCATCCTTACTCTATCCCGTTCTTTAGGCAGCTCCATCAAAATGAAAGTAGAAGATTTAACAACTTCCGGTTGAATCCTTTTTAGGGTTCGTTATGTTTTTGGTTGGGTTGACAGGGGGCATTGCCTCAGGGAAGAGCACAGTGGCTAAAATATTAAAAGAACTGGGTTGTACTGTCATAGATGCGGACGAAGTGGCCAGGGAAGGTATTGTTAAACTGTTGTATTTTTTTCACAGAGAAGCTATCTCATCGCTGTTACTTAAAAATGACTTTTTATCTTATTTTTCTGTTCAGAACTTGATACTTGGTGATACAGAACAATAAATTTAATAGTCAGGAAAATTCGATCGCTCTGATTGGATTGCTAGGTCGTTATGTGTTTTAAATATAACTTTTGCCGTTCTGGGTCCAGTCAAACAAACAACAACAAAAAATCAAACCCAGAAGCTTCATATCTTGACTTTTCATACTTACATAACACGAGTCTGCATTTTTTTTTGGGGGGGGGGACTTTTACTTCAAAGTCACTTTTAGTTGGTCTAGTGTATACATTTAATTACTCTGCAAATTTTAGGGGGGGGGGGGTCTGGACCCCATCCCACCACATGGATTAGATCTGTGCATGAGGATTGATGTGAATTGTCTTTTTTCAGTGGTGCTTCCAGGAACACCAGGCTGGAAGAAAATAAAAACTCATTTTGGAAGTGATGTATTCCAACCCAATGGAGAACTAAATCGTGAAAAACTCGGACAAGTGATATTCAATGATTCAGATAAAAGAAAAATTCTTAATTCTATAACTCATCCTGAAATCTACAAAGCTATTGCTTGGAAAGTTATGAAAAACTTTTTGATTGGTAGGTACAACATATACATGATGTATATATATATATATATATTATTAATTAAGCAGCTGTAAACTTTGTTTTTTGATTGTAGGTGCATGTGTAAATTTAAATTAGGCTAAGTGATCCACTGATTAACTTGTGATTTCTAAACTTTTTAGAGGAAAGTTGTTTTATTGATTGAAAAAATAGTTTTTCCATCATCGGAACCCACAGGTTTTTTTCTCCCTCACATGACATTCAACATACTGGGTACATGTAGTGTAACATAGAGGAAACCTGTTGGTTCAGGCAATAATTTTTCCCCTACCTTTTGTGATAATAAAATCTTGTTAAATTGTTCATCTTTATACAATTATGAAGACATATATTACTATGAAGTGTTTCTTTTTTTTTTATACAAATTGAAGCTCTAATAACATTTTAATTTTCTATTAACAGGACAGCATTTTATAGTTCTTGATCTTCCATTGTTGTTTGAATCAAAGAAGATGGTCCCATTCATGAGTTACACAGTGGTAGTGAACTGGTAAGGTTTATTTATCACTTAACTATGAGAAACAACTGGTAAAGTCTATGAATTATAAATTAATAACAGACAACTAAAAAGATCTCATTTTCCTACTATTTTAGTCATCTGGTTAGACTCTATTCAAGACAAAAATGTGGTAGAAAACTGAAAATGTCTCATTAATTACTTCACTTTGGTAAACAACTAATTTTATTTCTTCATGCATGTTAACTCTATTGCTACAATGTATAGGGGAGATGTTTTTGTCAAAAATAGTGCACAATACAGCAAAACTTGTTTAGTACACATTGGCGTCGGAAGCAAATTGAAAGTGGGGGGGCTATTAAAGTGTAAAAAAAAAAATTTGTACCTTCTAAAAAACCTGACAAGCAAAAAAAAAAACACCACCACTCCACTTTCTCCATTTTAAACCTATACTAAGACGTATCTGTGGAAAGTGGGGGGGCTAAACCTACGAAGATATGTTCACTATCTATACTAAGCATCTATTTTGAAAAAAAGTGGGGGGGCTAAGCCCCCCTAGCCCCCCCGGTTCCGACACCTATGGTACAAACACGGATATTGCGAATTTACGGTTATGGCGAAGTCATCTTGGATCCCCATCTAATAAAATTTAATGACTTTCTTATACGGTTATAACAAATTACGGATATAGCGAAGTAATTTCACAGGTCCCATTGACTTCGTTATAACCAAGTTTTACTGTAGTTTGTTTTGAATTTAACATAAGGGATCCTAATTCTCATATATTTGTACATGTATTATCATCGCTACAAACATGCATCTCCTAATGTAAGTACAAAACAGTAGAGCTACAGTCTTGTCAGAGACTTCCAATGCATTTTTTCAGTAGAGCTACAGTCTTGTCAGAGACTTCTGGTTCCTAACTCTCTGTATTCTTTCATTTGAGCTACAGTCTTGTCACAGACTTTTGGTTCCTTATTCTTTGTATTCTATCATTAGAGCTACAGTCTTCTCAGAGACTTCTGGTTCCTAACTCTCTGTATTCTTTTATTTGAGCTACAGTCTTGTCACAGACTTTTGGTTCCTAATTCTCTGTATTCTTTCATTAAAGCTACAGTCTTATCAGAGACTTCTGGTTCCTAACTCTCTGTATTCTTTTATTTGAGCTACAGTCTTGTCACAGACTTTTGGTTCCTTATTCTCTGTATTCTTTCATTAGAGTTACAGTCTTGTCAGAGAATTCTGGTTCCTAATTCTATGTATTCTTTCACAGTTCAGAAGAACAACAACTACAGAGACTCATGAAGAGAAATAATTACTCACGGGAAGCAGCTGAAATCAGGATCAAAGCTCAGATGCCTTTAAATGAAAAATGTAAGCTGTGTAGCCATATTATTGATAATACTCAGGACGTACAAACTACATATTACCAGACTGTGAAACTTCATCAGCAGTTGTCACGGAGTCGTCTCTACTGGAAAGTCCGGGTGCTGTTAGCGGTGTGTGCAGGAACTGTGATTGGCCTTACTATATATGTAGTAAAACTTGTATTTAGGTAACAATTAAACTGTTTTAAATAATTGGTATTTTGTTCTTTTATCGATTGTAAAAATTTGAGGCAAATTCAGGGAATGGTTAAGTATGTTCAAGTATGTTCCAAGGAAAAAGCAAAGATACCTGTATATCTATTCCAAATTCATTCATTATGCATTAGTGAGTCCGAGAGGAACTTTCCTTAATGCTTTTAATTTTTTTCTGACTTTGACCTTGGATTCAGTAAATTCAAGGAAAGAGCTAACTTTTTCTGACACATTGACTTTACATGTATCCAAAACATGATCTTTTGTCCTTTCCAAATTTTGTGGATAAGAATGGTTCCGATGAAGCTGCTTCTGATTTTTTTTTCAAATTTCATACAAGACTAAAGCTATCAACTCTCTAATGATTTTCTGACATTGACCTTCTATATGGCATAAATCTCACTTTTCATGACTTTTCCATGATATATTTTACTTTGAAAAAATACACAAATGTAATGGTAAGATCTAGTGGTTCATCTGTGACGACCTTTCCTATATGTATGTCCTCGAACTTGTATGTCCTTGAACTTTCATATATATCCTAAAAGACTGACTAAGGACAAAGTAGGAAAGTGAGGTCAAGGACAAATATATATAAATTGCATTGTTCTTTCTGTAAGGAAATCTGTTAAAGTTTGGGATTTTGGGTCAGGGGTACCAGGGGGGAGGGTTCGAATGATTATATACTGAAAATGATTCAATGCTTTGAAATTTGCTCCTTCATTTAAACGAACATTTATAATGAGCAAGGTGCCTTTTCCAAAAATTGTGAAATGTGCGGACCTAGGGTCAGGGGTTCCTGTTGGGTTGGGAAACTACTGATTATTGCTGATTATTACTGATTAGTAGGGACGCGTTTTTTGTTCCCCTTGTCTGTCGCTGGGTATTAAATTAACTAATTAAACTTAAAGCATACTAAGCAAATAGTTATGATGAGCAATGGTGCCTCTTTCAAAATTGTGATTTTCTTAGCCTTTGGTTTAAAACATGAACCAAATTCTTTGGAAAGTTGTTAATGCTACTCAGGTGACCTATAAGATATGCGAGTCTCTTGTGTATCTCTTCAGTATATAAAAGTAAACCTTGGTCCTAACTTTTAAACAGTTCGTAATAGGGCTCGTCATAATTGACAGGTGTATTTCTTGTTACAAGCCCTCCCCTTGGATACGAGCAATTTTGACCTTTTAACCTAATTTTGAAAAAACATCAATCTTGGCCATATCTTTTGACCAGTTGGTTCTAGTCCTTGAATTTTCACAAGTGTACTTCTTTTTAATAACAAAGCCTTTTCCTGGGCACCTTTAATTTGAACCTTTAACCTAGACCTTGGAGTTTGATCCACATTTCATAAATCTTAACCTGTTAACCTTGGTCAAAAGATTTGAATGGTTAGTACTTGGGCTTTCATATTTCAAAGGTATATTCATTGAGCCAAGTCCTTTCTTCTAGTAACTTTTTCACCTTTTGACCTTGGAGTCAGACTTTAACATTCGCCAAAAAGCTGCTTTACGTTGGCATCAGTGTTTCACAAACACATGTTGTTGCTAAATAAACATCAATTGCAAACTTAAGATATTTTAATGTGAATCGTAGTCCGACTATCTTTTAAATAGAATTACAAAGTGAAGCTTGAGGGCATCACGACCAAAATGGGACGTGCAGTACTAATGACGACGTATCTTAATCTCCCCTGAAGTAAATACAATGCAATTAATCCGGCGAACCCTACTGTTCACAAAATTGATTTCAGAAATGAAAAGTTAAAACAGCTTGGCTAGAAGGTCTGAGAGAAAAAGAGAGGATTCTTTTATCGATTTATTGAGTCTTTTTTTTACCGTGCGCCGAGATTGATGGTGTTATATTTTCTAAGACACATTTGTTGATGGAGGAAAGCAACAGTTCTAAGGAAGTTATGCGGAAACAGGGGGA